CCACACTTTTCCTTCCCATGTGGCGCTAGCGGTAAAGAACCTGCCTGCCAATGCAGTAGATTGAGATGCAGGTTCAATCCCTGGGTCGAGAAAATCCCCTGGAGGAGGAAATGGCAACCCACTCCAGTAATCTTGCCTGGAGAATCCCATGGATAGAGGAGCCTGGCAGACTACAGTCCATGCGGTCACAAAGAGTCAGGCACAACGGAAGCGACTGACTTAGCACACACTTTTCCTGATCGCTTTCCCAAAACTTGCCTCCACCACCCAGAAACTCAAAACCCCTTTTCCTTTGTTTAGCCTAAAATGGTATATAAACCCCAGTTCTAATGGTCTCTCTGGGTTTCTCATCACTGACTATTCCCAAGTGCATGCACGATGCACATGGTAATAAACTTGTTTTTCTCTTGTTGATCTGTCTTTTGTTGGTCTCATTTCCAGGGCCCCAGCTAAATAAAGAACCTAGATGGGTTCTAGAAGAAAAAGATTATTTCTCCTCCGCTCCATCCCCAGAACACTCCTGTCCTGCTTAGCTTCACTGCCCTCTCGCAGAGGCCTCTATGCAGTTCACGGTAGCAGTCCTTTCATCTCTGGGGATTCCCTTCCTTGCTCCACAGGCTGTGTTAACTGGATACTTCATTGATTAAGTATTCTGAAAATCAACCGTGCTGGTGGGGGAGGGGAGAGGACTGTCTGATTTGAAGCCCACTCTCCAATTCCCCTTTGGTTAATGGAACCTGAAGTACAAAATAAAGAGAATTTCCTGCTTCAAAAACCAGAGAGAATAAACTCTCCAGAGTGGCCTAAAATTACAATGGACTGTGGGAGGAACTACAGTTGGCAAGAGGGGTTAGGTGTGGGACTACTGCTGGCCCTGAAGCATCCAGAAGCAACCAAAGACCCAGAAAGAGACTGAAAGACAGCAAACAGCAAGAAATGCCTGGGTGATGGGCCCGGGTGGGTAGACAGCAGTGTGTGAGGTGCCATGAACACTTGCTTTGGAATAGACAGACCAGATGCGGTGGATCTTTCTTTCCAAAGAAGGTTGCAGCAACATATTTATCCCATCCCACGTGTTCTTTTCACAGTGGGACTGATGCTCAGCCCACCATGAAGTGGGGTCCGTTCTTCCTCTCCTTGAATCTGGGCATGGCCTCGTGATTGCCCCAACCATTGGGGATTCAGCAGAAGTGATGCTATGTGACTTCCAAGGCTGTGTCAGAAAAAAGTTGGGCTTCAACACAGCTGGCTCAGACCCTTGCCTTTGGAACCCAGGCACCATGTTATAAGGAATCCCAGACTGCATGGAAAGGCAAGGTGTAGGGGTTCCAGCCCACAGCCCCAGCTGAGGTCTTGGCCAACCCCCATCTCTAGACCCTTCTGAGGATTCCAACCCCCAACCTTCAAATCTCTCCACTGTCCTGAGTTCCTGACCCACAAAACCATGAGACATAATAAATTGTTATTTTCTTAAGCCACTGTTTTGGGATAACAGGTTATGCAGCAACAGACACTAATTCACTCAACCTGGATGCTGTCTCCTTTCATCAACTGTGTGACCCTGGACCAGAGTATTCCTCTTGGCGTTGCAGTCTCCTTGCCAGAAAACAGACATGAGCACATGACACCTTCCCTCGGCACAGCCCTGAGCAGCAGAGCTGACGACTGTGAGATGCCCACTCTCCGGGCTGTTCTCTCAAGCTACCTTGTTTCATTTACCTGCCTACTTAAACTTTCCACTTTGAGAATGTACATCCCACAAAAGCCCATCTTGCCTACTGCTCTGGTATGGTTTAGTCACTAAATCATGTCCGACTCCTGCAACCCCATGGACTGTAGTCTGCCAAGCTCCTCTGTCCATGGGATTTCTCAGCAGGAATACTGGAGTGGGTTTTTCTTTCTCCACGGGGTCTTCCCAACCCAGGAATCAAACCTGGGTCTCCTGCACTGCAGGTGGATTCTTTATTGACTGAGCTACAAGGGAAGCCCTGCCCACTGCTCTACCCCAAGGCCTAGACAAGCACCTACCACCATAACTTCCCCATCAAAACCTGACTGACTGGAAGAAAAAAATAGTAAAACTAACATAGCAGCAAAGTGTTCACAAAATGCTTCCTGTTAAGTGATCAGGGCAGGGAGGCAAGACACCAAGTCAAGGCAGAGCAGGGACCACTGAAGTCTGGCAAGCAGTCTAGAGTTCAAGATGTTCTACAGTCAGATCTGAAAGCCCAAGGGTGAAGCCAACCCTGACCCAGCAGGGCTGGAGAGGCCAAGGGAGCTCTTCCCAGAACTGCTGAGTAGTGGTCACACACCACCTGGCAACACTTCCTCCTCGCACCAGGCGTCTCCGCTAGTCCTACCATTCGACCTGGTCCCTGTCTGTGCTCCTACCAGCCAAGAATGTCTGGCTTAACTGTGGCACAGTAGAACTAACCCTCTGTAATCTGCAGCCCTGCTAAGTGCAGAGGGTTTCCCAGGTGGCTCAGTAGTAAAGAACCCACCTGCCAAGCAGGAAATGCAGGTTCAATCCCTGGTCGGGAAGATTCCCCAAGAGAAGAAAACGGCAACCCACTCCAGTATTTTTGCCTGGGAAATCCCATGGACAGAGGATCCCAGCAGGGTATAGTTCACAGGGCTGCAGAGTCGGACACGACTTAGTGACTAAACAACTACAAGGAAAGTTCCAGGTGGTAACTCTGGGCTTTTCTGTTCTGCCCAGGGCTGGGAGGTAGCTCCCACTGCTGCTTCTGAAGCCAACTGTCCCTTTTCTACACTACCAGCTGACCTCCTCCACAGGCCTCTTTCCTTTGCCTTGAGCATATTCCATTGTGGGATGAAGGGCAACTCGATTCAAATCCTAGTGATCCAAAGCAGATACTCACAGTGGAATGGTTTTCAAGTACTGGTCCAAAATTTAACCTCCCCTGCTCTTGGGAAACTTCAGAAATTGGCTATTAAACAGGGTGGTGAAATGACAGGGCCCAACCAATCCTTGTTCTTTCAGAAAAAAAATATGAAAATCAGTTTTAAAAAATCAGTGCTATGGGGAAGGAGAGAAACTGAGCTTCGGGGGAAAAAAAAAAACCACTTATCCAAGGGGACACAAAAAATTACAAAATTGTCGAGCAATGTTTTGTTTTGTTTCCATTGGCCATTGAGGACTTTCTTGCAAGCTCCTGCCAAGATGCTCAGAGTTCTCAATGACTTTTCAGGCTGGAAACACCCCAGGACCATCTAATCCTCTACCTCCGAGCGATCATATTTTTTTATTATCCTCAATTCCTAGGAGGAATTGTCCTCACATCTATTCAGCCACATGCTCCAGGCTCCCAATACATGCCCATCACTGTCAGAGACCTCATTAAACAGTGACAGTGGCTTGTTTACCCAACATGCTCTGTGAGCCAAGAACCATCGTGAGCACTCGTCCTGGCATCCACTCTGCGGAGAGATAGATGTGAAGATGGTGGTGAGGATGATGACTATTACCTTCACAAGTGAGGACATGGAAAATAGAGAATAGGAATGTTTTTTGTATGTGTTAGAATCTGAAGCTCTGGTAGTTTGACTCCAGCCTACACTTTTAACCAGTTATGTCACCTCTCACTAATCTCAGCCCTGTGTCCTGCTTTGCCCTGCTAAGCCCTCAATGGATCAATACAATACCTCTGTCCATCCCTCCACTGAAGTGCCTTTTCATCAATGCGGGGGGCCCCCAGAGCCTCCCTCCTTGGGCTGAAGCCCACTTGGTTCACAGTAAGGGACGAGGTGCTGAGTCACTCCATTCACTGGTTTATTGAGATTTGGGGAGATCCTTCCCCCAAGACACCACAGTGCAAAAAGGACACCACCTCCCACCACACAGGACCATCTTCTGCCTCCAGAGTCAGGGGTGCCTTCCTTTGGTCAGGATTCTCACCAACTACCCACTGCAAGCAGCTCCCCAAACCTGTCCCCATTTCTTCTCCCTTCCTTCCCTCAGAAAAATACAAAACTGAAGGGAGCACTTTGTAGAGGAGGACTTTGAGTGTGGACCGAGGGTGCTCCAGAGCGCAAAGGAGAGCCGGGTGAGTGCGAGCAGAAACCGAGTGTGATGTAGACCCAGATGTGGACGGCCCCACCAGATGGGAATCGGGGGAAAGTGTGTGACAATGTGCAGGGTGGGTGCATATGGCTCTGCTGGAAGAACACAATTTTAAGGTGCAAAAAGAAGAGGGTACACAAGGGCACACAGGGCAAGTGCACAGATAAACCTGGACATGTACAAATGGCACATGCCCACCCACACAGCTCTCCCAAGGGCATATCCATGACCATGAGAGGGGCACACGCCGCCATGAGGGAAGGGAATACAGCAGGGCACGTGTGGCCACAGGAAGGGTGGAGAGAGCACATGCGAAACCACATGTGCAAACAAGAAAGTGAGAACAGCGAGGATAGATGTGTGTTAGTTAGAGGGAAGGAGCATGTGAGCCTTGACAAAAAGAGTGCCTTGCAAAAGCTAAATTCAAGAGGGACAAAACGTGTGGCTGTGTGGAGGGCCAAGGGGTTGGAAGGAGATGAGGATGGTGAGAGAAATGGCCAGGCCCTGTTGCCACAGAGAGCCCTCTGGGGAGGCCCCTGCTGGTGGGAGCAGAGCACAAAAGCGAGGGGGCTGCCCGGTTGTCGTGGTAACCAGAGGAAAAGAAGAGGGGGTGTGTCTCGTGAGACACCAAGGAGCCAGTGAGTGAGAAGCTTCAAGCCGGGTACAAACTCGATTATGAAGTAGAGACAGACAATGATACGAATGAATGAGAGAACAGGGCCCGGCTCCCAGAGCACTGGAGACTCAGTCGACGCTGGGACCTGGGACTCTGGTACTCAAGACGGGCAGGTATTTACAAGAGATGGGATGGAGCGGTGTTCTTCCCACCTAGGGTAGGGATCCCCTGCTTCGTCCCGAGCCCCCCTCCCTTCCCCCTCTCCCTCCCCCTATTTGCCTGTCCCCCCTCACACCTCCCTCACTTGTAAAGCAAGTGGACTCGACTTCCATCACAGCTAAGCCGGTCAGGGGGCTCAGGGGGCCCCCTGGGCAGGCCCCCCGAGGGGTCTGGGGGTGTCGGAGGGTGACGCCGGGATCGGAGCTGCTGCCGAGACTGGAGCTGATGGCGCAGTTCAGAGACGCGCTCCTCTTTCTGGAGGAAGAAAACAATCGGGCGAGTAGGAGAGAGGAAATCAGGAAAGGGTGGGAGGAGGGAAGGAGAGGCAGAGAAAAATGTGGGGGAGAGGGAGGGGAAAACGGACAGAAGAAAGGAACAGGAGCCATCAGGCAGGAACCGGGAGAGCCGAAAGCACACAGTGAACACAGTGTGGCAGCAGTCGGGATCAGGGAAACAAAGGGGGTGGGGGAGGGGAGAACGGACCGAGCACAGAGCTTCCGCTTCCGGTAACACACTCAACAGATTAATGCCAACCTAGTTTGAATACCCCCAGCCTGACACTGCACTGGCCCCTAACTCCCGCTGGGGGCACTGCAAACACCCTGTAGACCTGCCCAGACCCCTCTCACTAGAGGGTATACTCAACCCCCACAATCAGCCACGCCCAGCCCAGGGCCACGCCCTCGCCTCCAGGAGGCGGAGCCAACAATGCAGTTCCGGCTCCAGAGCCCCTCCACCCGCTGAGACCAGCACTTTACCAGGTTTTTACCTGAGACTGACTCCACCTTCACCACTTCCCGGGCCTCCTCCACTCTCTCCCTGGCAGCCTGTCTCTTGAGACCTCCCGTGGTAAATCATGTGCACAGGAACCCCGATCTCAGGCTCTACGGACTCTAGAATCCTGACTCTACCCGAGACGTGGGCCTCCCCGACCTGCCGCCACCTCTGCCTTCACCACACACCTCGGCGATGATCTTCTCCAGCTCGCGGTTCTCCTTCTCCAACAGCCTGGACTTCTCCTCCTCGTTGTTGTTGGTCGAGGACCCTGTCTTCATGGTGTCCTGTGCCTCCGACTGCCACTCCCCTCGGGTGATCAGCCTGCGCATCTGGGAGGAAGTTGGGGGTGTGGATGAGCCAGCAGGGACTGTCAGTGATTAGGTCATGGTGGGTTGCACGGAAGTAAGGAAAACAAGAGGGAGCTGGGCCCAAAACGGAAGAAGTGGGAGGAAGGAAAGTAGGGACACGGAGGGGACAGGGGCTGGAGAGGCCGGGAGGACACACAGAGCCATACCTTGGGGACGAACAGCACCACCAGGGTGATATAGGAGGAGAAAACTATGGCGAGAGAGGCGAAGGCGAAGGCAGCATCCTGCTGGCTGGACAGGATCATGGTGACCGGGGCAGTAATGAGGCACAGAACCTGGGGGCAGAGCATGTGTGGGGTCACAGACCTTCTGGCTCAGACAAGAGCCAGGGTCTACTTCCCCCAGAAAAGTCTATGGGGACAAGTTCTTGGGGAACTTTCCATTCATAAGGACCCAAAGTCGGGATGTGAGAGTTGGACCAGAAAGAAGGCTGAGCACTGAAGAAATGATGCTTTCGAATTGTGGGGTGCTGAAGAAGACTCTTGAGAGTCCTTTGGACAGCAAGGAGATCAAACCAGTCAAACCTATAGGAAATCAACCCTGAATATTCACTGGAAGAACTGATGCTGAAGCTGAAGCTCCAATACTTTGGCCACCTGATGGGAAGATCCGACTCACTGGGAAAAACCCTGATGCTGGGAAAGATTGAGGGCAAGAGGAGAAGGGGGCAGCCAAGGATGAGATGGTTGGATGGCATCACTGACTCAGTGGACATGATTTTGAGCAGACTCCGGGAGATAGTGGAGGACAGGGAAGCCTGGAGTGCTGCAGTCCTTGAGGTCACAAAGAGTCGGACCTGACTTAGCTCCTGAACAACAACAATAACAAAGTCAGGATCATCCTCAACTCTTGGTTGGTAAGAATCCCAGATAAACTGTCCCAAACCAGCTCCAGCTCTAGGGCAGCCCCTGCCTCCAGACAGGAGCTCCCAGCATCTCCGTACACACATCAGAGTCCTTAAGAGCCAGTCCTGAGCATCCTTGCAGAAAATCTCATTCAGATTCCAGCTTGGGAACCACAGATGAGGAATTTCACCTGTTTCTGCTTCCGCATCTATCTAGTGGGGATGCTAATCACCTCTTCACTGGGTGGTTGTATGAAGATTGATGTTCACTTTATACATTATAAAGTGCTTTTCAAACCCAAGGCATTAGAAAACGTTTTAAGACTTCCACCCAGCTGACCCCACATCAGGCACCTCATTCTTCCCAGGCCACCCCGATCTGGGTTGCTGTGCCTAGTCCCCACGTTTGATGCCAGGTGTCCAGGGAGCTCACCGCCACATTGTAGATGGCCATGCCCACAGCCCGGTGGTCATTGATCTTCTCGGTGGACACACTCTTGGTCTCATAAGCAAGAAAGATACCCAGCAGCAGCAGCAGCCCCTTGTAACCATAGAAGATGCCTAGGATGGCAGGGAAGGGTTATCTTCCATTCACTACCCCCTTTTCTGTGCTCCTTCTGATGGCAGTGACATGGGGGCCTCCTCTCCAACCCAGCCCCTCTGACCTAGTACACCCCTCCCTGTCCACTGCCCCCAGGTCCACCCCACTCGCCCTGACCTCACTGCTTCCTCCTGGTACTAAGAGCCCCATCACACAGGACAATGATGGTCATGAGCAGCTGTCAAGGACCTTGTCAAGGGCTTGAGCCACACACAGTGTCTCACCTCCTCACCCCCTGAGTGGGAAGATGGCTTTCCATGCTGAGGGTAGGTTTGCCATTTGTGGTCAGAGGTCAGAGTGATGTTAAAAGGGCCAAAGGGGCCTAACCCCTCGCAGCCCCAGTCTCACTCCAGGGAGTGGACCAGACAAGAGATGGAGATGAGGGTGAGGCCACATCACTGGTCCCTCTGATGAACACAAGCTCTGCCTCCTCCCTGAGCTGGACACTAAGCACCTCAGGCAAAAGACCAACTCTCCCCATGCTCAGAAAAGACTAACGCAGAGACAAACAGGAGGAGGTTCGAACTGAGTTGACGTGAGCTCTCCACCTCTTTTTACAAAGACCCTTCTCCCTCCAAGCTACTGCCCACTCCACACACACTCCCTCCCCACTAGCCCCCTTTATGGGCATCTCCCCCACCCCTCCCCCACACCCTGCACACCAAGCCATGTGTTCATCTTCTTGGAGCTACAATGCTCCAGCTGGGGCAGAATAGACACATCAATATCTTCCTTCGGCTCCTCCTTGGCAAAAGTCTAAGAGAGAGACAGAGCCACAGGCAAGATGGTTGCTGTCCTCCCCTCCCCTCCCCACCTTTGCTCAGTCCCAACTCCTAGTTCTGCCCCCCTCTTTCTGAAGAGATCCTCAATTCTCATGCCAGATCCAACTCCAGGTCTGGGAACATTTGCCTAAACCCATTGTAAGTGCTTATTCCCCCACTTTCCACGATGTCTGAAAGTCTGCCCATCCTCCCAGATCCCCACCACTTCCTTTCGTCACAGGAATTCAGAGTGTCTGCTAGGGCTCCCTGCAGGAAGCAGGGAGAGCTGCTGAGATACCCAGGGTTGGAACACACCTCCCATGGGCAGCTCTTCTCCTCAGGACCCCCTGCAGCTCCCGAGGCCCTTCCACCTCCTGCAAGGCCTCCTGACCCAAGCGCCTCCTCAAAGGGTACCTCAATGGTCCGGTGCAGGGGGTCCACGATCTGCCAGATGGCGAGGGTGAGGACGTCCATGCCCACCAGCAGGCTCACTGTGGCATACAGCTTCCAGGGCTCCAGGGTCTGAGTCAACACACAGGGTACAGGCATGTTGGGGTGGGGGACAGGGCCTCCCAAGCCCTGAGAGCCTAGGTGCTAGGGGCCGAGGGATTCAGAGCAGCTCACCTTCCTCCACTCTTTCTTTTCCTCCTTCTTTGTGAAGACTGTATGGACCCACCAGATCTTGGTGAACATGGAGCCGTAGCCCAGGCTAAAGCCCAAACCCAGGAGCCAGAGGCGGGCCTAGGAAAGGAGAGAGGGCAGGAGAGAATAGGGTGGGGCAGAAGGTGGACAGTGCCAGGATGGGGCAGAGCTGTAGGAGGGAACGGATGACCAGACTGGCAGGATGCAGCCAATAGGGGCTGGGTGGGGAGGGCGATTGGGCAGCAGAGAGTCTCTTTGCACTTTGCCACCTGGATAATCTTACTAAAAAATGGGTTTTAATAGCCAGTCACTTCTGACTGTTCCCCAAGGCCTGCAGACTGCAGCCTGAACACCTCCAGTTGTGGCATGAGACCCTTTACAACATGGACCCAACCACCTTTCCAGCCTCTTCTCCCCCCACACTTTCACCTGCCCCAGACCCTCACCTGCCCCATGCTCCAGCCCTGCTCAACTGCTTGCTTGCTTATCCTTGCCCTTGATCTACTCTCTTTGGTGCCTCTGCTACCCACAGGACACTCCCTCCACTCATGGAGTAACCCTCTTTTATTTCTCCAGCCAACAAAAGCCCCTGCATCCTTCACAATTCACATGCACCTTTGGTGAGGTCCATGCAGCCACTCAGACAGTCAGCTGCTTTCTCTTCGCTCCCACAGCAGATCCCTGCTCTGATACCTCTTGTGCATCACTGCTGACTATCTGCTTTCCCACTGTATTGGGTCTTCCTGAAGAATTGTAGGTGTATGTGTGTGCAAATGCCATGTGCCCAGGTGTGTGATCAGGATAGGTACAGAGCAGAGGAGAAGAGTGAGAATGGGCAAGAAAACAAGGGGCAGTATTTCCCACCAGCATAAGAGAGAACCAAACAAATACTGCCGCTGAAGCCAGGCTTACTCTGCAGCCCCAGAACCTTCCATGTGCCAAGAGTCCCACAGGGCCTCCTCCCTGTGTGAGAGAGGTCCCTTCCCCCCAACTCTCCCTGCTGTTGGTTCAGATCCCCGCCTCCGTCCTTCCCAACCACAACTAAGGCTCCCACGGGAAGTCCCCAGTTCTTGTTCTCAGCCCCCGCGCCAGACAGGCCACCATTGTCCGAGGGTTCTCTGTGCAGACCCCCTTCCTGTGCCTTCAGTACCTCCCCACCCTTCTCTACAAGGCATGCCATGGCAACCTTGGAACTGACAAGCCAGCTACAGAATGAAAAAGTCTGGAGGCATAGAAAAAAGGGACAGAGCCAGACAGAGATCAGAGGGCGATGTCAGGAGAAGAACTAGGGACAAGGAGGAAAGACAAGGAGGACAGGCAGGGGACGGCGCATCACAGAAGGCGCTCCTAAGGGGGCGGGCTGGAGAGCCATGCTCTGCAGGAGACCTGCCACCCCCTCCTCACCTGGCAGACGAAGGGGAACTGACTTCTCCCGATGTGGTAACCATCCAGCCCGAGGGGGAAGACGGCGGCTAACGCTAGTGAGCAGCCCACAGCAGTCAGATTATTCAGGTTGGGCTGTGAGTTCTGGATATAACTAGGGCAGAGGCGGAAGGGTGGGAGAGATTGAAGAGCAGAATTACCCTCCTCTCCAGGGAGGCTCAGCTCCCCAAACACCCCACAATGGCCTGACCCCAACCTCAGGGCCGGGAGACAAAGGCAGGTGGCCTTGGAGATGGCATCAGAGACAAAGCCAGTTTGGTCATGGGGGGCCACAGACGGCTTCCTGGGCACAGGACCCTACCACACACACACTCTTTAGAGCCCTAAATTATGTTACCTGATCCCAAAAGCTTTTTTATTTTTCCATTAGCTGCTTTGGAGCAGGGATGGGAGTTATACCTGGCTTCCCCCTTTTTGTTCCCTGGGCAAACAATAATATAGAGTGGAAACCTCAGAGATGCACAGCCTCAGGAGCTACATACTTTCCTTCTCACTCCCTTCAAGCAAATGACCGTTATCTTGGAGAAGCAGAGAGGACAGGGAAATGTCAGAAGAGAAACTTACCGGACATGGGAGTTATAGATGTTAAAGGACAGACAGACAACAGCTAGAACAATGCCCAGGCTGGAGAGAACGGAGACGGAGATAAAGAGTTTCTGTGACAGGAAGCGGAACGTCTTGATGACCAAGGTCTGGTCAGCTGGAGGGGACCCTCCTACGTGGCACAAGGGAGGGGGAAGAGAAAGGAGGAAGGACAAAGGCATGAAGGTGGGACAGGAGAAAGGGGAGAAGGACCAAGCTGCTGATGGGCACCCAGGTCTTAACTCTGAGGACAGGAGGCCCTAACTGCCCTGAATCAGGGCTTGCTGCAGCCCAAGTGCTCTTTGATTCTGGGGCTCTTAGGAAGCAATCAGATATGAGACAAGAAGATGGAACTAGAGGCTGAGCTGCATCACCAAAGTTGTAGTCTTTTTGTTGTTACCTTTTGTTCTTTGTGTTTTTTTCATCTTTCGGGAAAGAAGAATGGAAGGAAAAGAAGGGGATACTGAGAAATAAATTTTATGAGGTTTCTTACAACTCAAATCAGAAGCTGCAAAAGGCAGTCATAGAATCATGAAGCTAAAGTGCCTCAAAATAGAGTCTAGCCTCCTAACCTCAGGAGGAATTTTCTTTAAAAAAAAAAACTGATCTGTGATTTTTAACCCTGGCCAGGTGATATTCCCAAAGGTGTTTCTCAGTTATTATTAAAGGGAAGCTCAAAGTTGTCACAGAATTCACAGAAAGGCGGGGGGGGGGGGGGGGGGGGAGACTAATTTCAATTTGCTGAGCTTTAAAAAAAAAAAGCATAATTTAGGCCATGCAGCATTTATAGCAATACAGAACACTGTCCTAAATTCAAATTATAAAAAAAAAAATTCAGAACTCCAGCAGTGCTGAGAACTACTAGATTTCAGCTGGGCAGGGCAGATGGCAGCTGTCTTCCATGGCTGTGCCCTTCCCCCTTCTGAAGACACCAAGCCTTTTTTTGATCAATAGAGTCCGCATTTTGCCCACCTTGAGTATCTTTCCCATTTCCTATTATTTAGCCCACCAAACACACAAGGAATATAATTGCTTCCTTTCTCTCCTTAAAAAACACATTTTAACAGAAGACAATTAAATGAGGTTTTACATCCTCTCCTACAGTTCAAGCAACTGTCTTCCTAAGAAAGCTAAGAGGCAACTTGAGACTTGAAGTAGCTGATTCAGATACATCAGGTCACCAGAAAATCTGGGAAACCCAAATGGAATTTTCATTTCCTGCCCCCTGGACCTAATCCCCAGTCGTCCTAGGAATGTACTGTTTTTAAGAATGCATTGCTACCTATACCTATACCCTCTCTAAATACACCAGTCTCTCCTACCCACATCTTGGAGGTTTTATTCCCTTTCTCAGAAACCCAGCCCCTGGTTCATCTCCTTAGGACATTTCAACCCCATGGTACCAACCACCCCACCCTCATTCAAACACAGTATTTGTCAATGGTTCAGAGGGGTTAAAGGAAATTATAGACAGGATCCACTTACCAATCCACTTATCTGTTTTGGACCAGGAAAGGTCATCCTTGGTGCTGTCATAATAACCAATCTTCTTGTAGCTGCCACCTGGACAGATGATAGGAGTAACCACAGGTAGGTGAAGAGTTGATCCCAAGCATTCTCAACCTCCCACTTCCCTAAAGTAGATCTCTGTGGTCATATCTGATTCTCCCTTCACCTGTGCCCCCAAAGGATACTTGGAAGGATCTGGGGGCCACTTGAAACAGCAATCTGATTGAAAAGCACTATAGGATAGATTCCAAGGCAACACAAAGAAATTGTTGTTTAGTCACTCAGTCATGTCTCTTTTGTGACTCCATGGACTTGTAGCCTGCAGGTTCCTCTGTCCATGGGATTTCCCAGAAGAATACTGGAGTGGGTTGCCATTTCCTTCTCCAGGGAATCTTCCCAGTTCAGGGATCAAACTCATGTCTCCTGCATTGGCAGGCACACTGTCTACTGCTGAGCCACTAGGGAAGCCCACACAAACAAACAAGAATATCTTATATGCTTTAAGCCCTTCAGTGAAGAATGCTGCACAGGATGTCTGCCACCCATTCCATGGGCTCACACCTCAGAAAAATGTCTCTCACTGTGATTCTGGCTTAAAAATCTTTAAACATGTTTCTGCTTATTCTCCCTCTCCTGATAGAATCACAAGATCTATTTTCCCAGAGGCTTTCATTTTAATTTTAGAAATTTCTCTTCCATTGACTTGGCTTCTAATTTCTTAAACAAGTTGCATCTGCCTCTTAAAAAGCCACAAATTCAGCCACTCTTAAGATCTCTAGAACTGCCCCAGTTATCATAACTTTTTCTTCTAAAGCCAACTCACAGCCTTTGGACCGTGGCTGAAGTCTATTCGTTCTTGTCCTGGTTACAAAGATCTGAGAGGATGTAGGAGGTCGGGAGAAGGAAAAGAAAGAAACTTTTCACAGGAGGCCAAGAAATGGTTCTTTTGGCCCTGCTCTAAGAGTCTGAGTGGAGTGGAGTTGAAAAACTAATTCACAAGTTTTGCAAATACCTCACTGTGTGAAGTTATAAGCCTATACCATCTAGAAAAGCCAAACTAGATGTACTGCAGAAAAATTAGACCTAATGGTTTACATATCAAGGAAATGCAATAGGTTCCCTTTAAAAATAGCTTGTTCCCTAGATTCAGCTTTCCTTGAGTCCATGAATATGCCACTGACAAGTCATGAACCCCTCAAGTCACCAGAGGGAAATTTCTCAAATCAAAATGGGGGCCAGTAGGGGAAAAGAGTGGTTGTTTTCAATTTGCATGCACAACCACTAAAACGCAAAGAAACTCACCCATCGCTAAGCTTTCTATTATCAGTATCATTATTTAAAAGCTTGAGGAACATGGAAGAGCAGGCATGAGGCAGGGAGGCACAAAGGCAATGTCTTCCTGTCTCCCAGGGTTCTCCTCCCAGACGGTATCCTAGGCCAGCCCCAGCCTGGCCCGCCCACCGACTCCCCATCACCCCACACCACTGTGCTCACCCTGCAGCTGCTCGATGAGCGTCCACGCCATCCGAGAGCCGCTGGCATCAAATACCACATGGCCCTGAGGGGGAGAAACATGTGGAGGAAGGCAATGGGGATAAAAGCAAGAGCCAAACGAGAACATCAGGGCCTCTTTGAATCCTTATGTTTTTGAAGTAATTGAGCTTCTGAATGAATTCTATTTATGGCATTTGCCTGCATATAGGACATACCCCAGATGCCCATACCCTAGATTTTAGAAACATTATTCTCTGGAAAAGAAGCTTCACCCAGGAGATTTGAATCGGAAAAATCCCCAGATGGAATACCAGGGGACCTGGCCTCTGGCTGTGTGACCTGAACAAGTCACCAAGTCCCTCTGGATGCTTATTTCCCCACTTTAAGAGGAATAAGGAGAGGATCTTTCAGGCTGCTTCCTCTTTTAAAATCCTATAAGTTTCATCTGACTCATAAATATCGGGACTGAGAGAAGTGAGGGGAGAGGTTGGAAGAAATGGAATATATCATCGCTCTTCTAGACTTCTGTGGGGTTTTCTGGCTTGGGGGCTTCTACTTCCCTGGTCTAAAACTAATTATTGCAGAGAGGTAACTGAGAAGGCATGTCTCCAGAAGAAGAAGCCTCAAAGAGGTCTCTCCGGATGGGAGGACAGAGGCCAGCAAAGGGGCTGCTGTAACTCACGGAAACACCCTCAAAGGACGAGGAGTTCATTGCCCGGTAGATTTGGTCAGTTATGGTCTGGTTGTTGTAGTTGAAGTCTTCCAGGCGCACACCCGAACGGCCGCCCCCTCCGGACGTCTTGTTGAGGGCCAGTGCCAAGGCCCAGATGGCATCATAGGCTAGAGGTGCCTCCTGGAAGCCTCCCGTCTCCTCAGGGTGTCGTTTTAGTCGTTTGGTCAGTTTCTCCACAAACTCCTGGGATGTCTAGGAAGGGAAGAACAGGATGAAAGGATTGGAGTGGGGTGGGCTTGAGTCTGGCTCTGACACTTTGACTTGAATGGATGGTTTGTGTTCAAGTCGTCAGATTGAGCCTGTGTACACTCAACATCCCTAACTATACATGCGCATCTAAGATCAGAAGCTACTAGACTAGAGCAGGGGTTAGCTGGGTCCAATGGCCTTAGTGTACACAGCTGCAAGCTCAGAACTGCAAGCAGAGAAGTTTAATAAATAGATGCTCTGCATAATGAACAGCAGAGAGAATGAAATGAAAGCAGAGAGAGAGAGCAAAGCAAAGATGTGGCCCCGCCAGTGAGGAACTGCAGCACTGGTTTTTCTCTCAGCCTTCAGACTCTTCCAACAGAGCTGACGCAGGAACTAACAGCTCCTCCAAGTCTGAAAGAGCCCAGAGAAGGTGACACCACAGCCTTTCTCGCTCTGTCAACCAGAAAGATTTTTCTTTAGCGTGCTAACTTCCTGCCATCCTCATGTGCTTTCCGTTCACTGTCTCTTGGACGGTTTTCAGAAGACTTGGGGCTGGAGAAACACCCTTCACACGTTTGAAGTCGATTATTCAATCCCTACCCACACCCCTCCCAACCTTCCATCTTCTTTTTCCAAGAAAGCTAAAAAAAATAAGAGCTTTAACTCTATCATGAAATGGATCAAGAGAGCTGAATTTCTACACCCGGCAGTAACACTGTTTACCTAAACGACTGCAAGTAAATTGCTTCCTTTTTTGGAACTGTCTTCCACATAATGGGGAAAATCATGTCTGCCCTTCCTTACCTCCCAGAAACCATACCAGGAAAGGCTCAGTGTCCACCTCTTGGCAAGGCACAGCTAATACACAGGGGTACCACACAGCTCTGTTTAGACTTGGAATGTGTTGACATACATACATGGGCTTCCCTGGTGGCTCAGGTGGCAAAGAATCTGCCTGCAATGCAGGAGGCCAACATACACACATACTCTAATGAAGGGATGAATAGATGAATGAAGAATAAATATGAGTCTCTGTTCCTGATGCCCTGCCTACTTTCCCTTCTATTCAGCTTTCTGGAGGCACAGGGGAATGGGAAATGCAAAGGATGTGCAATGTGGTGAGCTGCAAACAGCCCAGGATTGAAGACAAGCAGGCCTGCGCTCTGCTCCTCCTGAGGACAGGACCAGAGTCTCTTCTCCTCTTAATCCTCAGCATCCAGCACTGTGCCCCACCCATTCTGGACAAACAACAAGTGTCTATAGATGAAGGGAATGAAATGAGGTTATCCATTTATCAACACTCACTCAGTGTACAACACCAAGAGTGAGCCCTCTGTAAACAATGGACATTAAGTGTTAGTGATGTAGCAGCGTAGGTTCATCAGCTGTAAACACTCTGGTGGGGAATGCCGATAACGGGGCAAGCTACAAATGAGTGGGGCAGGAAGCATATAGGAAACCTTTGTGTCTTCCTCTCAATTTTCCTGTGAACTCAAAAACTGCTTCCAAAAAAACCATCTTTGGGACTTCCCTTGTGGCTCAGTGGTAAAGAATCCACCTGCCAATGCTGGAGACATGGATTCAATCCCTGATCCAGGAAGAATCCACAGGCCGAGGAGCAACTAAACCTGTGTGCCACAACTATTGAGCCTGTGCTCTAGAGCCTGGGAGCCGCATCTACTGAAGCCTGCATGCCTTACAGCCCGTGCTCCACAACAAGAGAAGCCACCACAATGAGAAGCCCACACATTACAACTAGAGAGTAGCCCCTGCTCACTACAACCAGACAGTAGCCCCTGCTCACTACAACTAGAGAAAGCCCACGCAGCAATGAAGACCCAGCACAGCCTAAATAAATAAATAAATAAAATTATTTTTCAAAAAACCATCTTTAAGAACAATGTCCGTTGGGTGGATAAATGGAAAGATGCCTTCTAATTCCAAATAATCCACCAAGCTGCTATTTAATCTCAAACAAGTTACCAGATTTCACTATGGAGTTATTCAGGCTTCCCTGGTGGCTCAGTTGGTAAAGAATTTGCCTGCAATGCAGGAGACCTGGGTTCGATCCCTGGGATGGGAAGATCCCCTCGAGGAGGGCATGGCAACTCACTCTAGTATTCTTGCCTGGAGAATCCCCATGGACAGAGGAGCTTGGCGGGCTACAGTCCATGGGGTGGAAAAGAGTTGGACACAACTGAGCAATGAAGCACAGCACATGGAGTTATTCAGCTTTAAAATGGGAGTGATATTAACTACCTTGAAAAGTTATTATAAGGATGAAATTACAATATTATAAAATGCTAAGTATAAAGTTACATTTTCTCTTTCAACCTCATCATTGTTACCAATATTCAAATCTGTAATTCCAGCTCAATATTTCAAGCCCTGAATTTCTGTCTCTAAGGTATTTGTAACTATATAATCAGTAATCTCAAAAATATCTAAGATTAAGCTCTATTTTTCTAACACTCCCCGGTATATAGGACTGAAACCTTAGGATCACCTTAGACTCTTTCAAATCACCAAGTCCTCTTAATACTTTTGTGCTGAAATGTTTCATTAATATCACTTCTTATACAGAATAATGTTAATCATAATTATAGCTGACATCTACATTGTTCTTATTATTGTCCTCATATATATCAACTTATTTCATTCTCAGATAACCCAATGAGGTAAATACTATATATGCTCATTTTAGAAAGTGACAAGGAACCTGAGACACAGAACCATTTGACCTGCTTGAAGGTATGTTGCTAGCACATGGCTGAGCTGGGATTCCAATCCATTCAAAGTCCATTCGCTTCCATCCACCCTGTAAACTGGAATGTCTCTCTCCCATAGCACCTGCTCAGCAGATAGCAACTAGCCTGAGCAACCTGTCAGCCTCCAAGCGCATCCAGCCTTCAGTTCAAAGTAAACCCTGCATCCAAAAATCACTCAGACAGGAAGGGAATCATCTGCTCTGCATGTCACTCTCCCCAGCCCGGATCCTCATACTCCCCTGGCTTCAGGTCACCACCACTAACACACTTGGATACGGGGAGCACCACTGCTCCAGGCATGACTAAAATTACCAAAAAGTCTCTCCCCTTTGGGTCAGCAAAGATGGCTATACATTTTCAAATGGAAATGTTATAAGGCGGCTTAAGAAAAACAACAACAACAAAAATTCCACAAAACCCATAGAAATTAGTGAATTATTAATGAATTACCCAAGTACCAATGTATGATCCTAAATTTTTAACAGTCCTGTTGGCAGTCTCTATATGTCAGAATAGATGTCCAATGGTGATATAAAATGTATATCCAGAGGTAGATTTTTATTTTCTATTGTACCCAGGTCCTCTATCTATACCAACCAGAATTTACTGACAATCTTTTTTTAATTTTCCAGACTTTTTAAAATTATTTATTAATTTTTATTTTTTGGCCTCTCCTGGCAGCATGTTGATCTTATTTTCCTGACCAGGGATCGAACCCTCCCGCCCTGCACTGGAAGCATGGAGTCTTAACTGCTGGAATGCCAGAAAATTTCCCATATCTTATCCCCAAGTATACTGCCTCATACCTGAGCTCTAGTACAGCTCCAGCCTGGAGCTATTTTTCTCCAAAACCACTCTAATCCACTCTCCCATATATGACTCCTAAAAACTCTTTCTCTAAACCAGAATTTCTCATTCTCTGCACTATTGACATTTTGAGCAGGATAATCCTTTGTTGTGGGGATGATCCTTTGCATTGTAAGTTATTTAGAAGTATTCCTGGGGACTTCCCTGGTGGTCCAGCGGCTAAGACTCCACATTCCCAATACAGGGAGCTGGGGATCAATCCCTGGTCAGGAAACTAGATCCCACATGCCACAACTAAGAGTTCGAATGCCACAACTAAGACCCAACACAGCCAAACAAATATTTTAAAAAAGAAGTATTCCTAGCCAACTCATTAGATACCAGTTGTGACAACCAAAACTTCCCCTGAATATGCAAACTCTGATTGAAAACCACCACACTACCAGGCCTCAAAGTGTGGTCCCCAGACCAGTAGCATCAACATCCCAGGGAACTTGTTGAAATGTATTAAGTTCCAGTCCCACTCCAGACCCACTGAATCAGAACTTCCAAGGGAAGAGCCCAGTCATGGTTCTGATAGAGGCTAAAGTTTGAGAACTGTTGATCTAAATGCAAGGCATTCCTTACAGAGTGAAGACAACTCCACTTCTCTTCTAAATCTCCTAGGTTCTCAGTCATAGGACCATAGGCTATCTGATCCATCTATAACCTCGTGTCTAGTTAATTATTAAGATGGCTTTTACACTCTGAAAAATCTTGGCCTCTTCATCTGGCATTTTAGGCTACCAAGCAGGCCTAGCAATACCTCTAGTCCTCAAAGGTAGGCACCATCTTTCTCTAGAGACCAAAAGTCAGAAAAAGATCCTCCAACTCAAAAGCCCAGGGGCCTATATACCCCCATCCAAATCCCTGCTTCCTATCAGGGCAGAAGGGGCAGAAGGCACTATTGGCAGGTCCTGGGCTCAGGGCACCAACCAGCTTTTCTGGCTTCAGTTACCACCTCCTCTACTTCCCCAAGGTCTCAGGACAACTCACCTCTCAGGTGCTCTACATGGAAACGACCTGGCAGAATTTTTCTATCATAATTTTTCAACCAAGATCCCTTGAAAATGTCACAGGACAGTAACCATGATTAAAGTACACATGGCAACTGACCCTTCCATCACAATCCACTGTCAGAATAAACTTCCTGAATTTATCTCTCTCTCATTCAAGAACTGTCATCTGCTAAACAGTGTTAGCTGATATAAGGGGAAGTTTTTTAGTGAGACTTCAAGGTTTGCCATGGGAGGTGACAGAACAGATGGTTTGGAGTTAGATTCAACTAGAACTCAATTCCAGCTTCATCACTCAGCAGCTGGTGACCTGTGATAAATCAGTTAACCTCTCTGAGTCTCAATTTATTGGTCTATAAGATAGAAATGAAAAATCTACATTAGAATATCACTATGAGCATCACTGAAATCATTTGTCTAAGCTCCTGGTTTACTATGTAAAAGTGATTATTACTACAGCAATTTAAAAATAAGATATTCTTGGGACTGCCATGGCAGTCCAGGGGTTAAGACTCCACACTTCTGATGCAAGGGGCATGGGTTCAATCCTTCATCCAGGAATTAAGATCCTACATGCCTTGCAGTGTGGCAAAAAAATAAAAAATAAAAGATATTCATGTGATTTTACAGTCATTCATGCACTCCTAGCATGCTCTCCAAGGCAGGTATTCCAGATCTGGGTCTATATCTGTATAATAAGCAGACACACAGGTTTCCCTATCAAGCTCAGCCAAGATTCTCATACTCGTTAGTGCAGTCCTGAACCAGAAAGGAGGCTCCCCGCCACACTACACCCTACCCACTTGTGCCCCTCACCTCTAGGCTGATTCCCACATCAACCAGTATGTCTTTTAGCCCAAGGTCCGTCACTAACCAGCTTTCTGGGGCTAACTGATTTCAAAAATCCCTTCTGCATTTAAAATTCTAAAAGAGAATCATTTTTAAAAAAGCATCAGGAGCCAAGCTAATTGAGTACCAATCAAGAGTGAATACTAAGCAACTCTAAAGTGCTCTAAAGTCACCAAGAAAATAAAACGAATTTTTGCCCAGAAACAGCGCTCCTATAAAGGTGTGCTTGCAGATTCAGCATCTATATTGTCATTAACACCTCTCCCTCATTTGACTTCTTGCCAACTGCTCCTTGTTTCCATGGTAACAGCCCTGCAACTCATCAGGGGCCCACTGAATGTACCACTCTCTTAAGTCCCTCTTTCCTGCCCAAGGAAGTCACAGCAGAGGTGGAATCCATAGGAAACATGATGCACAAATTGAGGGTGAGCAGAGGCCCCTTGCCCTCCTAAACCTCCAAGCCCTATACCTGCTCCCCTCACCTAAGAGACCCCCTCAGGCCCTTCCTCCTGCCCAAGGGCCAGCTTCTAAGTCCTCACACACTCACCATGTTGGAAATGCTGCGAGTGTTGGCCGGGTTCAGCATGACTATCTCAGTGGTGATGTGGCCTTCCACCGCCTCAGTCATCTCATCCACTGTGCAGTTGATGGACGGGTCATAGATCTTGAACCAATTGTCAGCATACCACCCGATGAGGAACCAGACGTACTTCTTCCCAAAGAGCCGCTCCTTGTACACCTGAGTGCAGAGAAGGAGTGGGGCTGGGCCTTCGTTTCATTTCTTTGTCTTATCTCACATAACACTATTCAGCCTCTTCAGATTCAGAGAAAAGCAGAGCATTGAAAAGAGTAATCTACAAGTCTGGGGGTAATAGGGAAGGTTCGACTACTTCTTCTAGGTGTCTCCCAGCCTCTATTTCTGAGTGGCCTTTTCCAGCCAGACAGGAAAGATGAGATTCTTCCGTCTCCTCTGGAAACACAAAGTGATAGGAAAATGAGACCTGGAGAGTGTCATGTGTGTGAGGCCAAGACGTGGAGTCAGAGCCTACAGACAGGAATTTCATATTAATCCTATCCTCCAATCATTTGCTCAGAGAGGCAGAGAGGAGAGCCCAGGAGACACCCAAGGCAAAGAGCCCACCCAGCGCCCCTCCTTTCTCAGATTCCAACTCCACCTCACAAAAAACTTTCCGGGCTTCAGTCTCGTAGAAAAGTCCCACGATGATCCGGGCATCCTGGCGCTATGGAATGGAGAGAGAACAGAGCTCCTGAGGGATGCAGGAAGGGGCCAAGGCAAGCACTTTCACAGCTTTGACTTCCTGTCCCAAGGCGCTCTGTGTAGGGTTCTGTTTGATGAGTAGTGGATAAATGTCAACTACAGGATGAAGCTAACCTTCCCTGGGAGATGCTTCTGCCTCGAAGAATCAAAATTATGTGACTTGATGCAGGTGTTAGCTAATGCTACGATGGTAATCAAATTGCAATAGATTAATGTACCAAATCAACACACTGCACTTCTTAAATTTATACAGCATTGTGTATCAATTATATTTCAACACCAAAAAAAAAAAAAATCCAAACCGTCCCTGCCTGCCTCTTTTCCCACCAACCACTGTTCCCCCTCACCCAGACCCTTGCAGACTGGGCCCACCAGCCCCCACCATCCCACCTTAAGGTTTTTGACAGGCACAGCTGGATCCGAGAAGAAACTCTGACGGAAGGTAATCTCGATTCCAGCCTCCTTCACCCGTTCCTCCAGGTCGTCCAGAGTCTTGGGAGGGGATGGGGATCAAATAGAGAAAGCACAGGGTGCACAATGGAGTAAAGCCTGGAGGTGTCACCTGGGGACCACATACTCAGAACAAAGGGAGAGTGATTCTGAACCTCCCTCCAACAGCTCTTTCCCCAGTGGGGAGAGTTTGAAGGAGAGCTTCTGGTGTCTTAGGACATGGCTTCCTCCAGGAAGGTGCTTGGTGAATCCCTCCTGAGGCTCTGCATCCAGTGAAGTCACCCCCATCACCCCACTCCTGCCTGACAGCAAAAAAATGGGGAAAGGAAAACAGAAGAACCAGGAAAAGACAAGGCAGGGTCTGGTCTAGGCAAGATGATGTCAACCTCAAGAGGCAAGTGGGCAGACAGACAAAAGGATCAGAGAATGTCCTGAGTCACTGAGACGGTTGGGGGAGGATTAAAGAGTCACCAAACACGAAAGTGAATAGAGGACCCAAAGAATAGAATTAAAGAGAGGGAGCAGACTGTCTTCTTCGGGGTAAAGAGCCAGGTATTTCCTTTCTAGCCCCCTCAAGTCTCCCCTTTCCCCTTCCACCTCTCCTTGCACGTCTGCACCTCCGCGTCAATTACCAACCATGTGCATGCATGTGTCTGTCTGCCTCTCTCTTCTCTCCCTCCCCCCTGGCTGGCTCTCTATTCCCTCTCTTCCCATCACACACGCCCACCACCTCCCCTGGAGTGCCTCTGGAATCTACTACCTCCCCAGGTCCTAGTTTCATATTCTCTCCCTTATCTTACTTCAATTTTAAAATGAATCTACTTTAATAGAACTGGGTTGCTTGGAGTCTGTCTGTTTGGGGGATAGAGCATCAAAGCAGGGGAAAATTAAAGATCCTAAAATCAAAAAGTTGGAGAGGGTCCTGAAAACTCAGCTGGTTCACTCCTCTGGTTACAGGAAGAACATGCACTTAACCCACTCAGAATGTGTCCTTTCTCGATAAAGAACCAAGGTCTTCACCCCTTGGCAAAAAGGAATCCCATGTCGCATCCCTCTGGGCTGGGATTTGAGCCCAGGCCCCCATCACCCCATCCATCCTCACCGAGGTGAAGACCTCGGTGGTCTGCTGGATGGTGGCGATCTTCTTCCAGCCCCACTTCTCGAAGAGTTTCACCCGGGTGGGATTGTGGAGTGTGGCCGACGGGTGAGTTCGGAAGAACGTAGGAAAGCGTTGTCGGTTTGACAGGGCTGGTGAGCTGGAGCCGTAGGAAAGCTACGAGAGGAGGGACAGCCTTCTGTCCCAGTGTGTTCCTGGCAGCCTCACTAAGAGAGCTCCTTCCACCCGTCCCTGCCTCTGGGCTTCTCTCGCTCACTCTCGCCAAGCCTCCCTACTTCTGCCCAAGGAAAAGTGATTCTCAAAAGCCCCCTCCCTCAGGGTACCCTTTCACTCATCTGCCTTCCATTCCTTCTGATGGTAAGCAGGTCAGCTGCAGCCCTGTCAGACCACTGCTGCTAGCAGGCCAACTAGCTCAGGTCTCCAAAGGACTCTGATCTTGGAAGTGTGGCCACTGTGGTCCTCAATACACGCCCCTCTTTCGTAAATGGCCCCAGAGGGGACAGCACCACCTCTGGCCCTCAGGGCCCCGCATACCACAATGAGGTTCCACATCCTGGCAGCCTCAGCCACGAGCGTAGAGACAGAGCTGCAGCCAGGCATAAGGATGATCTTGATGGGGTCATTGTAGAGCAGCTCGTACAGGTACTTGGTGGCTTGGCCCGGGTCACACTGCACAGGGCGAGGATGGAGGGGTGATGGGAGGGCTCCTCCCCTCCCTCCAACTCCTACTCTCTTCTTTTTCCCAACAACCTAGTCACTTGCCTAGTTACCCATCCCCCTGCTGAATCTCTTTTCTCATTATCCCCATTTCTTCTCTTTCCTGAGTCTCCTTTCCCCTCATTCGTGAAACATCCTTCTCTGCCTCCCACCTGGCACCTTACCCACACCCTCTCCTGCACGCCCTCTGCCAGTGTGCATGCAAACACTGCCTTCCCTCCTCTCAGCGCATCCTCAGACACCCCCTAGCCCACCTTCCTTCAACGACCCCTCCCTCCTCTTTTCCTTAGGTTTCTATGCTCCAAACACCTGTGAGTAGAAGAGTCTGCAGGAATATGAATAAATTTTTCCCCAAGTCCCCAGACAGCCTCTTGAAAGCCATATTAAGAAAAGTCCTCCCTCACCTCTGCAAACTCCCTCTCCCACCTGCTATTTTTTTTTTCCTCCCTCTTCTCTTTTCAGGGCTAGAGACACACAAACAGGAGAGAACAGGGACAGACCCCCAGGGGTCCTGGCTCAGCGCATTCATGCCCTCCTGCTGGGCTCTGACATTTGGCGGTGCGTTGGGAAAAAAGACATTCAGGGACGGAAGGGGGTGGGGAGAAACAAGGATGAGGGAAGAGCTGGGGAGAATAAATAGAATGGGATGCTTGAGAAACCAGATGCTTTTAGGGGTGCCTGCAAGAGAGGGAAAAGCTGGGAAAGTAAACAATGCAGAGAGCTCGAGGGGCAGGGGCAGAGGGGAAGTGGGGGGAGGAACAGCCAGCCATGGAGCTCCCATTGCCTGTTCCCCTCCTGCTGAAATATGACATTTCAGAAGCTGCTGGAGCCCCAAAGGAAGGGGGGAAGAAATGGAAGCCAGTGGGGAGCCAGGGCAGAGGGGACAGACAGGAGGCACAGTGGACTGGGGAGGGTGATGGAGGGCAGGGCAAGTAGAAGGAAATAAAGAAGGCCCCCTAGGGCCTGCTCACTTCCCACTGAGGCCTGACATTTGGGACACTGTGGGAAGTTGGAGAAGGGGGAGTCGGGGGAGTCAGGCGAGGCTGGCCCATAGAACCAACTCCCTGCTGCCCACCCAGGCCTACCCCTGCTAAGGGCAGTGCTCAGTGCGTGCTCAACTGCATGTTTAGAAGGTTCTGCATCCCTGCCACTTGGGCATCTTTGTGTATCTTTACCATCCTCACATCCCAGCTTCCTGCATCTATCACTCCAGATCCTGCCCCCAGCTTCTCCCAAGGGTTCTCAGTAGTGCTCCCTTTCTTGTCTGAGGGGAGGTTATTAGGAACCATGAGAACATATAAGAACACATAAGATACAGACAAACAGGGCAATATATAGGACCCTAATGTCTTTCCTTCTGTTTCCTGTTTCCTTCCCTACCTTCTCTTGCACTCCTTCCCCCTTCCACACTCTATCCATCACTGCACGCTCCCTTGGCCACATGATTCTCACCCTCTCCACAACAGACCAGATCTGTCTTCCCCTCTCTCCTCTCCTCTCTCCCCCAAGGAGCAAGGATCCGGATTTGCGGACAGGAAACGACACATTCCAGTTTGTCTGCCTTTTCATCTCCCCCTCACCGCCTCTGCTATTTTCTCCTCCATCTCCCTTCTCTCAGGCCCCCATCTGCTCCCCAACACCTCCAGGGAATCACCTGTCATGGTGGATAAGTTGGAGCTCACACCCAGGGCTCCCCTAGCTGCCCACGATCCCTTATCCCAAAGCCTGCACCCACCCCTCCCTGTCCCTCTCCCCAGATTCCCATTTCCATAGCCAATTACCACTCTTCTAAACTGACTCCTCCATGGAACCCAATCTTCTTTCTCTTGCCTCTCCTACACTAACTAGTTCTTTTCCTGTGTCCTGCTACCCTTCCTATAGGCATCCTGGGGTTAGCCAAATAAGATTTTTATTGGTGAAAATGCAGACCCTTGGGACTCATCCCTGACCGAGGAGTTAGAATCTGGATTCATAACAAACTTCTCTGGTGAGGCTTAGGTACACTGAAGTTTGAGAATCACTGTCAAAGTGTCAGAAGAGATTCAAAGTTCCAGAAGAGTCCTTGTACCCTCTCCTCCTCAAGCATCCCATCTTCAACTCCACCTCTGCCCCCTCCTCCCTCACACAGGTATTTCTAGGTGTACACTGCTGTTCCAAAGAACGACTATAAATGCCCAGTCCACCCCAGGTGTAAGATCACCAGGTGCTCACCCACCCCTGTGCTCTTTCACTCTCCCCCAAACCCTTAAGTCTTTGGGGCCTTCTAGGAGAGATGATAGATTTGAAATCCCAAATCGCCTTGCTTGCCTGGGCTACATCCTCCCCCATACTCCTAGTCATTCATGTGGAGGTTGGGGTGGGAAAGGAATCTTACAGCACTATCCCCTACTACCCCTGGACCTTTCCCCCTCTCCCAATTTCCCCTCTCCCTAACCCTACATTCCATTTCCCTTCTCACATCTTAAAAGGCCTCAACGCTCAGGGAAGGCAAACTCAAGAGCCAAGTTCCCCAAGACACCCCAGGGTCTCAGGCTATCACCACTCCTCTTGCTGGCCCCCCTCCCCCACTGCCATTCTTTCCTGTTCTTTCTCTTCCCTGCATTCTGACTTCTTGCCATCCCCATGCTCTTGTGGGGGCTCCTGTGTGGACCTCTAATCCCATTCATTTTCCTAGCACCTCTATCCATCTCTTGACCATTAGCCTTCCCGACTACAACAGACCACAAAACAATTCCACAATCCAGGAATCCACAACAGGGTTGCAGATGAAGGGATGAGAAAGAGTCAGGTGGGGACCCAAGCTTCCGTGCTGTTTGTTGTGAAAAATAAACTAGAGCACTCAAGTCCCTCAAAATTTTCCTGATTGGGTCCCTATTCCTTCCGCTCCAACCTGCTGCCAAGATTTACCTTGTTACCATGGTAAATGTAAACCCCTGATCCAGCTCCATTCCCTCCATCCCCCAACCCACCCCAGGGTTAGTTTACTCCCCGGAGGAACCAGATCTGCTTGTTCCCTAAAGCCATCACCAGTTTCTCCAGCTACCCCCGACCTAAGCACTTCCAGGGGTCTCGGAGAACAGAAGGGTCTGCCTTGCAGCGTGATTAATCACCTCGAACCCCTAGACCCTCATCTTGAACCTCCAGCCTCTGCCACTCTCCCCAAGCTCCCACAGCCCCCGCCTATCTTCAGCTAGTCACACATGGGAGGGGTCTGCCTGGCAATCGCAGAAGCTACTCAGACTAAGGCACGTGCAGCAGGCCCCCTGCCCCCCAGCCCCCACCACCCCACCTACCCACTCCCCTCTCCGGGGCTACCTTGCTGTCGTGGTGGATGAGCTTGAGCTCATAGTCCGGCAGGATGTCCCTGCGGCTATTCACGTCCTCCAGCGCCATCTCCACCGCGGGCTGGCAGGCCTGGCCCCCCGGCCAGCCCCCGCTCATGGGAAACAGCGCCCCGATGTACACAGCGCGCCGTTCTGAGGAGGGGTGCGGGGGGACCCGCGGGTGAGGCCGCGGGAGATGAGGGGAGTGGGAGGCCCTCACCGGAGTCACCCCCGCCACCCCCAGCACCACCAGGAGCAGCAGTGGCCACCCCACCCCGGGAGAGGGGGCCCCCGGACCCATGGCAGGGGGCGGGCAGCGGGAGGGGGTGGGAGCTGCTTGGGGAGGGGAACGAGCTCAGGGGGGACACTTTTCCTGGGGAGGGCTGCTGAGGGGCTGTCGGGGAGGCGCCTCCATCCCTGGTTTTGTGCAGAGGAGGGAGATAGGGTCTCGGGAAAGCAGGGAAGGTTGGCTTCCTACGGCCCCCACGGCTCTGGCTCCCGCCACCGCCGCCGCCACCGCGGACTCTCCTCGCGGACTGACTGACCGACCGAGGGGAGGAGGAGGAGGGAGAGGCAGGACTGGGAGGGGGCTCTGACGTCACGGGCGGCGCGCGGCGGCGGGGAGGGGGTGGAGGGCCGGGCTGGGGAGGCAGGGAGGGGGCGGGGACGGAGGCGAGAGCGGCTGAGGGAACCTCCGTCTGAGGGGATGAGAGGAGGGAGGGGAGAGCGGCCGCGACCCCCAGGGTGAAAGGGACGGACGGGAAGACGAGGGTCCCAACCTAAGGGAACGTTCGGGGAGGAGGAAAGAGGGGAAGGGGTGTGCCAGGAGGGCGGGGTGGGCGGAGGGAACGCGGGAGGCTGAAGCTCTGAGGGGCGAGGGATGGAGAGGCTAGGACGAGAGAGGGACGCGAGAGAAAAGGGGCTGGCGCCTGAGCGCCTTCATGGGGGTGTGAATAGACGGGGTGAAGGGCTGAGGGGTGGGGGAGAGGGCGATGGGAACGGTTGTGGAGAGAAAGGGAGAGCTGGGCGGGGAAGAGGGAAGGCTGGGGTAAAGGACGTGGAGGTGGGGGGGGGTGGTGCGGATGATGGGGACAGAGGAAGGCAACACGGAGCTGGTTGGACAGAGTCTGGACAGAGAAAGGGTGGTGGGAGAAGGACCTGAGATGAAAGAAAAGGGAACGAGCGTAGGGAAGGGAAGGATGTGGGGAGGCGCTGAAGGTAAGGGAGAGTGAGGCCCGGCGGTGGGTGAGATGGGTGGACGGGGCTGATGGAGTCAGCAGGTGACATCCTAGGAAGGGGGCAGGCAGGGAAGGGTTCCAGAGAAGGTCGGAAGGAACCCCACCGGGGTAGGCGAGCTGGACGCTCCGGGTCTCCCAGCACTCTGCCGCCCCCTGCTGGGGCTCTGCCCTTTGGCAGAAGCGGAGTCTGGAGGAGGCGGAGCCGAGGGGGGTGCAGCCCGGCAGGGAGATGGGAGGGACCGCAGCCTCGCAGAAAACCGGGACTGGAGGCTGGAAACAGGTAGGGAAAGAAGGGGCCGGCCGCGTACTGGAGACTGGGGTGAGTGGGGGAAGGTGGGGGAGGAATGGGGAGGATGAGAACCCACAACCTAAGGGGCAGAATCCCTGGAGGTGGAGGGTGAAGAGTGAGGGGTAAGAGGATTGCAGTGCACGCGATGAGGGTTTCTGATCTCACCTGAGTGTGGCGTTCGATTCACTGGCAGCAGGAAAGACGGGGATCAGAGAAGAGTTACCAGTGGCGCCCAGCTTCCCAGGCCTGATCCCCAGCCCCCTCCCACACCTGTCCATGCCGAAGAAGGCCGGGAGGGGAGCAGAAGCCTGCGTTTCTGAGGGGAGGGTGCCTGGGAATAAGAGCAAGTGGGGCTGTGGGTCAGGATTTGTGGTTTTCTTTTATTTTTCAAAGGACAACAGAATTTGAGACAGGAGTGCCAACAGCTAGGACAAGGGCAGATCCTGGTTTTGTGGAGCCTAAATATTATAAAATGTGGGGGTCTCTCTTTAAGAGAAAAAAATTACAAATGCGATTGACTTGAAGCTACTGCTGTTAAAATATCTTACTTTGGCAATTTTTACAAAACCCTGTGACCATGTGAACACATTATTAAACCCTCTACGTTTTTCTTTTCGAGCACAAGAAGAGGCCTGCATAAGTAAGGAACCCTGGAGCTTAAATTTTGTCAGCGTCATAGTTAACTCATCCCTGGATGGGACTCCCACTTCCCAGAATGGAGTGGTAAACCACAAACAGAGTAATTTAAGTGAGGAAAGCCAGGTCCAAGCATCTCAAAAGGCAGAGGGTCTACAAGGGTAGAGGAAGCGTGAGGTATGCCTGCATCCCAGGAGAGAAGATTGCAGAGGGAGAATCTGGGAGCCCAGGAAAGTGGGAAGTTTGCAGAGCCAGATGGAGAAACAGGTGATGGACACAAGACAGATTCCCTTGGGGAATGATGGGGGTTGTCTGGGAAGTATAGAAAAAGACTGTCCTCTTCCTTCTCCATCCCTGGATTGTCCTTAATGTTCTGACAATTCTGCCCCCACTTTGAAGTCTTTCATTTTTACCCTGATAATTTTCCACCCTGGATATTCTTTTCAATCTTATTAATTTTTCTAAATATGACATATGGTTTATTGCTGAGTCTTTACAATAATTCAGGCATATAATGAATGGAGAGAGATCAAGTCTAGAAGAGGATCATGGATAGGAAATGTTAAGTTTAGAGAAAGGGACTGAGGCTGGGGGAAACTGTAGTATTTGAATCTTAAGAAGGGTGATGGAGGGTGAGATTCATAAAGGAAAGGAGAAAATGTGAGACCCAAGGGTTGAAAGCATGGGGAAGATATTAACAAGAGAAAGGTAAACGAAGGAAGCCCTCAGTAGAAAGTGGAAATGGGGAACTTCAGGAGGAAGTCTGAGGCAAGTGGATGGAGGAAAGAGTGGAGCGTTCACCTCTGCCTCCCCAAAGCACCCTGTTTTCCCCACCATCCATTCCCACCCCACTCCCATCCTCTGACAAGCGTCCTCATCTGCTGCATGCAGGCAGCTGTTCCCCTCACCCTGGCAGTGGGGCTTGGGGGTGCTCCACTGGCCCTGACTACAGATGCTCCGGGAGCTGCCCACCAGATGAAAGTCGGGGTCACATCGGAAATCCACCCGGGCTCCATCCAGAGCTGGGAGGTCCCCACCCGTCAGGAAAACCTTCCCATTTTCCAGGGTCAAATAAGACTTGGAGCAGATTCGGACTGTGGAGACAGGAAAATAAAGAGAGAGGCGAGTTGGAGAAGGCTCCTTCCCCTTAGAGAAAGGGAGGGGGTTCAGCTTTGAGTTTGAGTCCACAGCATCTTACTCTGCAGGAAATCAGGTATTAAAAAGATAGCTTCTCTAGTTTCCAGTCCTCCCTTAACCCTGTAAGCATCTACATTCAGAAAAGAAACAGCATTTCCATCATAGGAACCCAAGATGGAGCTATAAGCACATAAAATGGGATCTCTTCAAAGTGGGCGATTGTCTGGCTTTGAGATGTGTAGATGTATGTAACTTTAGATGCACAATCAGATTTGCTTTATTATAGTTGGCTTATACTCCTGTTAAACTGGGTTTTAATTGGGGGGTGGCGGGGGGGGGCGGGTGGTGTGTACTGGTCTCTCCACTGGAGACAGGTATTCCAAAATGGGATGAAATCACTTTAGAATGTTTTTGCATAAACTGCCACTGGTCATCCTCAATAGACTAACTCACAAGATGAATACCCAAGTTATTTCCTCAAATGGTCAGTGGCCTAATGAAGGATGAAATGAAACCTGCAGGCTGCTAACTTTACTGCCTGCAATTGCACACAGCAAAGTCCCTCTTACATAGTAGTCATTCCATAAATGTTTCTTGTGAATTTAGTTACACTGGATTTAAAGTGCTGACTTGCCAGCAATGATGCCAAGTTTGAGGCAGGAAGAATTGGCTGGAAAAGGGGAGGGGCTTTGAGAGGTTACTCACCACAGCGGCTGGGCGTGTCCATATCTGTCCAGGAGCCGTTGGCCAGGCACTTGCGCACCTTGGGCCCCACCACCTCGCGCTCCCCCCGGCACACATACTCAATCTCATAGTCCACGGGCAGGAAGTTGATAGCCTTCACCTGGTCCCGAGTCAGGCCCCTATACCTGATGCCCCCTTCCCAGGGCGGGTGTATGATCTGGCAACCTGAGGGGTGAGTCCATAGGGAGGGGGAAAAGGCAGAGTCAGCAGCCGGAGGCAGGGGAGCTAGGGCGGGGTCTAGGGGGCAGGTGGAGGACAGGTGTTGGGATGAGGTGCTGGAGGGTGGGAGAGGGGAGGAGTAGGGAGCCTTGGGCTAAAGGGCACGGCGGAATGGGCCAGGGTTAAGGCTAATCAGGGAGCCCACAAGTGGAAAGGGAAGGATGCTGGTTGGGGTAATGGAGAAAAGTAAGAAATCATGAAAGGGTATGGTATGCAAATGAGTTTGGTAAGAAAAGGCTAAAGGAGAATCTGGTTGAATGAGGCTGAGAGGAGAAGGGTGTCTTCCAAGGCCACCTGGGCAGCAATGTGGGACCAAGGAAAAAGAGGAACTGAGGTAGCAATGTGGGCCCAGGAAAAAGGGGTGGGGGTGCAGGAAACAATGCGGGTCACAAAAGGTGGCCTAGTGTAGTAATAAGGGGCAGAGAAAGGGGGTGCTGGCTAATAATGAAGGGTGAGGGAAAGGAGGTCAGGAGTAGTAAAGTGGGGCTGAGCAGACGGGGTTGCCAGGCCCCGATGCCGTGTAGGGGAAAGTAGAGGGGATGCAAGGAAAGGGGGAGTGGGGTGGCGGGGTGCCCGAGGTCGCCGGAGAAGGGTGCACCTTCAGAGGTGGCGTTGGGGGTCTGCGCCCCGCCCGCGCCCGGGGGGCGGAGAAAGAGCGGCGCCAGCAGCAGCAACAGCAGCATCTGAGTGAGAGGCGGCCGTGAGGATCGGACCCGGGAGGTGGCCTGGCCTCCCTCCGGTCGCCTCGCGGGCTCCGACCCGGCTCAGCCCGGGGACCGGGAGAGCGCCCCGCGGAGGAGGCGGGGGCGGAGCCCGGCGCGGGGTTGGGGGAGAGGAGGAGAGAGAGCCTGTCCCCACCCTCCTCCTCCCTCCCTCGGCCCCCCCACCCTCCCGGGACTCCACCTCTCACCACCTCCTTTCCCCGGGCCCCGGCGGCTCGCCCGAGCCCGGCTGCCCCGCGCTCCCCGATCGGCCGCCCCGCGGCTCCCGGTTCCCTTCCCCGCCGCTCCTCCTCTCCTCCGGCCCCCCGGCCCCCGGCTCGTTCCTTCCCCGCGCGCCCCTCTCCAAGCCCGGCCTCCCCAGGGCCCTGGCTCTTACCTCGGCGCGCCGGCCCGGCTCCCCGGCTCTCCCGGGCCTCAAGGCCCCAGGCCCGGCCGCTCCTCCCGGCTCCCCCCTCCTCCCTTGCTCCACCTTTCCCTCCTCCCGACCCTCGTCCCCGCGAATCCGCTCTCCAGCCCGGCCAGGGTCTCTCCCTCCGGTCTCACCTCCCCCAAACCCCACCCCCGTCTCTCCTTCCCTGGGGCGGCGGCGGCCGCGGGAGCGGGGAGCCGGGAGGGAAGGAGGCGGCGCCGGGGACCGGGAAAGCTCCCGGGCGGAGGGAAGGAGGAGGGTGCGGGAGGAGACAGGGCGGGGGGAAGAGGGGGAGACCGGGGAGAGGGCACCTCCCACAACCCAAACCCCGGGAGCCGCCCCGGATCCCAGCCCCGCCCTGGACCGCCCACCGCGCCGGGGGGCGGGAGGCGGGGGAGCGGGGCTCCGAGGTAAGGGAGAGGGGCGCCTGTGCACCCGCACACACGCGTGCGGGGACCCGCGGACCAGACCACTGGGAGCTGGGGAGGGGGCGAGGGGGCCCGAGCCAAAGGCCGAGGAGCTGGCGCTGAGACACGGAGCCTGCGATGCAGGTGGAGAAAGACGGCTGCACAAAGAGAAGCAGCCCTGGTCGGGGTGAGACGGGAGAGGCAGAAACCGAGGACCAGGAGGAGGACGAGACGGGTGGGAGAGAAAGGAGAAGCCAGGGTCAGACAGCGGAGGGGCGGGGAGGGGAGGGGGTGAAGGCCGGGAGCCACCTCAGCGCGACAGGAGTTGTTGGATGGAGAAGACGGAGGTGGAACCCAGAGCGGCTCCATGGGTCCAGCAGCGAGGCTACTCGCCTGCCTGGGGAGGGAACGCGGAGGGAGGACTGGAAGCAAAGGACGGGAGGGTAGCGTCAAGGAGAGAAATTAAAGTAGGAGGGGGGGGGGGGGGAAGGACAGAAAAAAGACCAGAGAATAAAGAACCTCCAAGTGGGCAGAAGCCAGCATTATCTCCGCTCTAGTAGGGCCTAGCAATCAATATTTCTTGACTAAGGAAGAACTGGGGGCTCTAGAGACAGCGGGGCAAGTGCAGGCCTTTTGACAGTTCCGGAGGCTCCAAGCTATTGTCTAGTGGAGGAAGAAATGTGCATGTGTGCACGCACACGTGTGTGTATGGTTCATGGGGATAAGTTTGGGCTGCCTGAGGAGACAGAAGGCTCTTTTGTGGGGCGACGCGGGGTGGGGGGGGGGCGGGGAGGGGAGGGATTTCTTTCTGGCTTGCCCTGGAAAGGGGTGGGGAAAAGCTAAATACCATCAGACTGATTAAACTGAAATTCTCAACCTTCAACCCTTCAAACATCTTGTCATGAGTCCTTTACTGTGCTGAATTGAAACTCATAAAGGAAATAACCTACCTACACACAGAACTTAAAAAAAAAAATGCTTCCCTGACTGTAGCATAAGAAAGGGGGAAAAAAGTAATTTGTAGTAAAAGAACATAAACAGTATTTTAACGTGTGAGTGTTGAAGTCATGACGAAGTAGGCAGATGCTAGCACTTATCCATAGAATCACAGGGCTGGAACTGCTACAAATGCCGGTTGATACAGGTGCTGAGTCGGTGACTCAACTACCTCCAACGTGTTGCCATCAATGAAGTGACTTAACAAAATGTTGAACAACTCTTGGTAGCAAAGTCAATCTTCCCTGAATTCACACAGAACTGTAATTGCATTCCTAGAAAGTTCATTGTATATTAAAGCCACTTTTTAAACTGTATTAAATTCTAGGCTCAGATAATTAAACACACGTTATCACCTAAATGAAGGTCCTAGGGGATACTTGAGAATCTGGAGGAAGGACAGCTTTTCACTGTGCAGGCTATGCTTTGAAGGATGTCTTATTCCCCTGCTGTACCCATTAGGACCCTGGGTAGCCCCCTCCATCGCTTAAAAAGAAAGCCCACAACTTTTCAAACTGTCCTTTAAGGAGTGGTTGAGATCCCCTGAGCTATGAAAAGGGCAGAAGAGAAGAAAAGAGGGGCAGGATTTCTAACCTCTCAAAATGATAGCGACCCCTCCTCTAAAGATGTGCTGTTTTTTCAGCAAGGCAGAATAAAAAATGTGGGTGTCAAGTTATTGAAAGCAGCAAAAAAAAAAAATCATATGGATGAGAATTTTCCTAGACTGCTTTGAAAGAAGAGTTTCCTGACTCTGCCCTGTCTATGGACTAGGTCAGCTGTCTGGTCTCCATGCTCTTTCTTGGTCTTGGCAAGGTTGAGAGCCCATAGGACACCTCCCCTGCTCCCAGCAGGGCCTTCCTGTAGAGGAGTGTCTCAGTAGGAACTCTCCCAGGAGCCCACAAGGTCCTCATCTAGTCTTTCTTTTCTTTTTTGACAAATGCACAGCTTGTGGGATCATAGTTCCCTGACCAGGGATCAAACCCAGGAACTAGACAATGAGAGCACCAGGGAATTCCCTAATATCTCACTCTGGAAACTTGTCTCTGTTTCCCTGAAGTCTTGAGTCCTTTGCTACACTGAACTGAGGAGGGCGGAAGGATGGAATCCCCCACCCCCCAGAAAAGAGGAGTCTAAGATTCCATGGAATTGAAAATTATCTTAGTGATATTTATCATCACACTGCTGATGCTAGCCCAGAAAGGAAATAACTTTAACTTAATGTCCAAATCACAGAATGTTGATTCAATAAATTAGAATGTTGTTCATTCAAAGGAATAGTTATAAAAACATGTTTAAAAGAGTGTTTAATGACATTTACATGGGAAAATAAGCAAATTTTGGGGGGGGGAAGCAGAATACAAAATGTGTACAATTGTGGTATACATGTGTTTAAAAGCTGGAAGAAAATACATCAACATATTAGCTATGATTACCTCTGGGGCAATAAATTATTAGATACTTTTTTTGGTCATATTGTTTCAATTTTTTTTTCAAATGTTTTACAAATATTACCTTTATCATACTTGTTTTTAATTGTTGTTTTTTTTTTTTAACCTTCAAAAGCACATTGAAGCAGTCTAGCCAATATCTGTTACTCAATGGGCAGAGGCATCTGAGGGTGTGGAGAGAGACTCCAATTATATTCATTATACAAACCACTCACCTTTTTCCACCAGTAGCTGCAGCTCCTCCTTTCACACCTTTGTACTCTCCAATATGGCTTCCCAGCTTCCTGGCCCATATTCCCCAGTCACAGCTGAGTATCCTAACCCCTCCTCCCCACAGTCAATCCACTTCCTTCTTCCACATCCAGCTCAGAACTCCTCTCCTCCAGAAAAGTCCTTGGACCTGATTCTATCCTTCCATTGCTCCTGTATTCTTTATGCCTTTGGTAACACCACCTCTTTTCTCAGTTTTGGACTATTTTTTTATAGAGACAGTGGAGTTCCCACTCAGATTAACTGAGAATTTCCATGACCAATTACCTGACCAATTTCCATGTTCATTTCATTTCCCATACTTCCAGTTTCTTTCCTCTCATCTGCCTCATGTTCTGTCCAACCCTGAGAGGGTTACGTAACACTTCGTAAGCCCTAAAAACATATTAACCAAAGTAGCTCAGATAATTGATAATTTGCTAGATGCTTTCATGGGGCATCTAATATAATTTTCACACAACCATGCAAAGTAGATGGCGACGTTTTAATTTTGTGAAAGGTGAAAGTGAAAGTCTCTCAGTCGTGTCTAACTCTTTGCGACCCCATGGACTATACAGTCCATGAAGTTCTCCAGGCCAGAATACTGGAGTGGGTAGCCTTTCCTTTCTCCAGGGGATCCTCCCAACCCAGGGATTGAACCCAGGTCTCCTGCATTGCAGGCAGATTCTTTACCAGCTGAGCCACAAGGGAAGCTTTAATTTTGGAGCCAAGTAAACTGTGATTTAGGGAAGTTAAGAAGCAAATCAGAGGATACTGCACTACAAAATCAGCAGAGTCAATATTTGAATTCATTTCCAAAGACTTTCCAGTGCATCCAGACTTAGTTTCAAGGCACATCTCTCATTCAATTCTCACCCCAAGGCATTCTTCATCAAAGATCACACTGCATTTCAGTTCTGTTTTCCCATCTGAAGCAGCAGCAGTGTGTGAAGGGAGGATGTTTGTACCCTCTTACATCACCTTCAGGCTGGGTTTTCTGTCCTGCACAGATCTTGCTGTTTAGAAAAATGTATAGGACAAAGATTAAAAATTCAAACACGAGTTATTTGCATGCTGGGCTTCACTCAGGCATATACAGGGGAATCCAATCAGGAATTCACAAAACTTCAATGAAATTAAAAAACCATATTGTAAATGTCTGGCCAGTACTTACCTCCCATACCCACAAGATGCTCTGAGGTCTTGGGGACCACTGTCTCTCAGGAGCTCTGGGCCAGTAGTAACCAGATTATAAGGGTGACACGGTGAATTACCTCTGCAAATAATTTCCATAAATAAGCCCTTCTATAATAATGAATGAACATAATGTAATGAAATACTAGGTCAACCTAAGCAATAACAAAGGCAGTGGTAAGTTTGTCTCTCTTATAAAAGGTATATGAGATCAGGTTAGCAGATCTAGAAAATATTCTGTTCTCACAAACAAATCTAGTAAGTATTTCTACTCCTAGAACTACGAGATGATTGAATTTTTAAGGATTTTAAGATAAGGAAGTATCATGTTTAATTAAATATATATAATTAAGTATATACACCAGGTATGCATAACTGTGCATAGTTAATCATACCATTTCAAAACACACATGCATCAGAATGCATGTATGAAATTGGTTGGTAGAGATTCTATTTGTTCATTTTCTTGTAACAGATTTCTCTCTTCTGAAATGTCCAGTTCACATATCTATCATGATTCTCACTAGTGCTAAGCACTCTAGGACACTCAGTTCAGTTCAGTTCAGTCGCTCAGTTGTGTCCAACTCTTTGTGACCCCATGAACCACAGCACGCCAGGCCTCCCTGTCCACCACCAACTCCCGGAGTTTACCCAAAGTCATGTCCATTCAGTCGGTGATGCCATCCAACCATCTCATTCTCTGTCATCCCCTTCTCCTCCTGCCCTCAATCTTTCCCAATAGGGTCTTTTCAAATGAGTCAGCTCTTCCCATCAGCTGGCCAAAGTACTGGAGCACTCTAGGACACTAACCAAATAATATTCAGAGTAAAAAGACATCACCCAGATTTTTCTATTAGAAACCACAGAATGTTGAAAACTTCATTATTTGATATGTATATCCAGGTCTCAAGCCCATAATAAGCACAATTATGTTTCTGCAGTAAAATGCATGACTCTTAATACTAGGTCGAGTAAAGACCATAAATAGCTTTACCTCTGGCTTTGCCACAAAATGGAAGCAAGTCAAGCCAGGTTTTGCCACCAAACGAGTTTAGGAACAAAATTTTGGTTTTCAGAGCATTGTGGATTTTGGAATTACAGAAAAGGTTGTGTGGAACCCATTATATGAGAAAATATTTATAAATATATGGGTTTTTTTGTTTGGTTGGTTTTTGTTTTTTTTTCATTTATTAGATATTTATTGAGCATCAGACACTGTGCCAGGCAGAACCCTGTCACAGTTCAGGTAGTTTTTAAAAGAGTTTTATTTTGTGGAAAGCAATGAGTGGCTGCATAACAATACGTAATGTATTTTAAATACGTGCACTCCATCTGGCTGTAATAGTTTCCTTAGAAGTCATCTGAACTAGAAATATATGTTTTTAAGAGTCAAATGAACATATCTGAGGTAACAGACTAAAACTAATTTTTTATTATTTTTTAATTTTTATTGAATTATAGTTGATTTACAATGTATTAGTTTCTGGTGATTTGGTTATGTGTGTGTGTGTCTGTGTGTGTGTGTGTGTATACATACAGACTAGAAATTCTGCTTATGGA